TTTCTTCAAGTTATTTTTAAATTTTGCAATCCACATGCAAGCTCCTTAAATACTTAAATCCTTAAATATATTTAAAGTGTTAAGGGCCTTAAAATTATGTTGTAGAAAGGCATTCTCCTGATCAAGTGTTTTGTACCAGTTAATCAAAATCTTCCTACACTGATATGTGGAAACAGTATTAATACATACAGGGCCCTTTTGTTAGCAGTGAGAAAATTTCAAGGTTTTGGAACATTAGGATTTGATTAAGAAATTAAGGAATATCTAGTACAAACTACTGAATGAGTACTTTCATATTTAAAAATCTCAGTTTTCATTTTCTCTAGGAATAAAAATATTTACCTAAGAATAGTGACCAATTAGAAAGACTTTTAGTCCTGTCTGATAAAAGAAATATAAATAGTTAGCCTAGCTGGGCTTTTTTTTTTTTTTTTAAGGAAAAAAAAAAGCTAGAATTACTTCTATCACAAATCAGGAAAACATTAAGAGTTTACAACTTCTGGCTACAGCTACGGCTGAAATACTGAGGATATGGATATACTATTCCATCTAAAATTCTGTCTCTTACAGGTAAAGGCTACCAGAGAAACTGTTTTGCCTAGGGTATTTAGCTCTCTAATTAATTCCTACTTGAGAAATTAGGAAAGCAAAATCAAGGCTGCATGTCTATTACAAGATTATTTACTCAGCTACCCATTGCAGCTCTCTAGAAGAGTAGAAAAAGATGACTGAGCCCCACAGCTAAGGAACCACAGAAGCAGAACAGCCCACATAACTGCATCAAAGGAGCTACTGCCAGAGGTAGATTTCACTTCATCTGAGCTCTCCGACAGGCCAATTGCTTAGTAAAAAAATCTTAGCAAAGATTTCTGTGTGCACACTGAGCAGAAAAGGTCTTTAAAAAAGTCTTCCTGGATTTATAAGACCTGTTTGTCAGCTACTGCAAAAATAAGTTTGGATTCAAATGGAATAACTATAACAATTTATATTTCTCAGAAGTTTCTACACTGTGTTTATCCTCGATAGATGGGTGATAGCCCTTCCTTTCTGACATGCTGGAAGCAGATGCAGTTGTTAGTTATGGTAAGCTGATGGGGTCTGATCACCAACTTTCTGCCTGAGAATTCTTCCAAATTTAGTAGAAATTGGAAGATGACATACACAGAGAAATTTTCTAGGTGGACCCCTTTAAATGGTGTTTTGTTCAATACAAACCCATCCACATACATGCACAATTGCATACATTTCTCTCCACATTAAGTGTTGCTGGATTAAAAAGATGTGGGGAGGATAACTGGTTACTAAGCACGCCATTCTCTGATAATCAAAATTGTCTGTAAACAAAACCCTCTTTCCTTTGAGAATCAGTCTGCCAATATACTATAAATGGGACATGACAGGTTGCAAAATGATAAAAAGGGGTGAATACAACCAGACTGTCAGGCTGATGCATGGGGTGGGGAATAAAAGCTAGTGAAAAACAAGTGTTGATCCTTGGATTTCTGTTTTTTAAGCATTTTATACAAGTTTCTATTTTGTGTCTAGTGCTTTCATGTTCTTTATGATTTCAATGCTATCCATTGCAGTATGCTTACTGTCATATTACATGATTTACACAGTATGTTTTTGATTTTGCTAAAGAATAATAATGCAAGCCTCCAGAAGACAGGTGGAAGGTATTTTACATCTTGTTCAATACTTGCTTATTCACAAAATCACATAGGCCATGGGTATGCTAACAATGATGTACTACACACAGCAAGCTCTGAACAAACTGGTGTATCTATATGGTGCAGTCAAGTGTCCCTAAAAACACAGGTCCCAGAAGCAGCATAGTCACTGCATGCAGTGCTGCACTTGAGCTCGTTAGACCTGCCCTAGCAATGAGTGGAAGTGCTATTTTGTGCTTCTTGTTTAAAAGCTAGCTTGTTTGCTGCTAATTCAGGTGTCCAGTATGACAACAAGCCAAGAGATGAGAATCCTCCCTCTGCAAGTTCTGGTGATCTTTAGAAAGCAGAGATGGCCATTAGAATGACCATTTTTGTGACTGTAATGGAGAAGGATATTAAACTCATTATTTCAAAATGTGAAACGGTTGTTCTGAAGCAGATTAAGGCTTCAGTGTTGAAAAAAGCTGAGGTTTGATTTTCTCCAAAACCTCAGATTGTCCTATATTGGGTTGCTGAAATTAGACTTGGCCATCTCAAATCAGAGGACTGAAAATGATGCTGTTGTGTCTCAGAGGACTGGTCAACGGTTAAGGGCATCCTGATGAACTGCAGAATGGAGATATGTAGATGACATCATGCTTACTTTCTAACCCAACTATTTCGTGTTACTAATTGTGGATTTCTTCCCAACTACAACAGCATCCACAGACTAATTAAATGCACTATTAAATGAGTTGAGGTTGACTAAAATTCGCTCTTCATATCCACCCTGATGGGTTCAGATGTTTATCTCACTGACTGACTGGGCAATGTGAAAGTAAAGTCTTCAAGAAAGAAAAATGTGGAAAAGGTGCTCTACCTTGCATCATTTTGTAGGGTCACAGTCATTGAGGAAAATAATCTATTAGGGTACAATGCATCCCATTTAAGAAATGCTTCAGGAAGTAGAAGGCAGAGAGGTAGGCAGTTCTAGAGGGCCTGATTCTCCATTCCATTACGTATTCTATTCTGTTGTCAAAGGAATCACACAAGCATAAAAAAAAATGAAAGTGTGAAGAATAATTCCAGCTTGTGATCCCAGCTCTGAACGGACTTTTCTGCTGTATGCTACTGCCAACACATTAAAAGCTTTTGCACTGTACTTTGTAGGTAGTAGAAAAAATGCTTTCTATGCGTATTCCCATTATTTTCTTTCTAAGCCAATTTACCCTGAAACATCTCTCCTTCATGCAGAGGGTCTTATGTAATAGTAGGAAATATTTTGACACTTTCAGGAGGATCATAAGCGCATTCAAGTCTTTCTAAGATGAAAGTAAGGTCTGCAACTAGTCTTTTCAATCTAGCACGATCTGTTGGTTTTTTGCTATATGCAAAGCCAAGAAAATTAAGATAACCTATCCTGGTAGAAAGGTTATGAGCTGAAAAGGAATAAAGGGGGAAGAGACCTGAGGAACTTTTAGAATGTATGTCTGAGAGGAATATGCAACACATCTTGAAAGTAACACTAGCATGAAGGGCATTTCTGGATAAATAAGACTTGTGTTGGTTAAAAAGAAAATTACTGAAAGTGTTGAGTTGAATAGTGCCTTCATCTCATCGCATTTTTAGATAGAACTGACTGGAATTTCCTTTTTATATATAAACCAATTAATTTTATTGCCCAAGTAGAGAAAGGAAGCTGAAGTGAAGGTCCATAGAAGACTCAACTTTGAGGGAATAAATGTCCTCAATTATCTATCCTCTTATCCTGAAGATGGAAAAATTCCTGGCAGACAACAAACAGCAGACATACTTCAACTGAAAAGTACTTGGTCCCTAAATGCAGTTATTCAGACCGATTTAATTCCCTGCAGGAACAAATAGTTTCTTTCAACATCTTTGTCTTTAGAAATTCAAATGGTGCCCACAGATGTGGCCTGAACCACAAGACAGAGCTTGGTGATTTAGCTGATTCTTTTTGAAATCACTTTGTCAACATCTATGTGCTCCTCAACCCACTTCCAACCCTTCGTTTCTTAAAATATTTTTAACAAACAACAGTTCTCAGAACATGGGAAGAGCTAAGGTATATTGCAACAATTACCCTTATCACTCTTGTGAAAGAGTATTTTCAGAAAAACAATACACATTTTTTCTGAAGTTTTCATATTTAAGGATACATTTCCTTCTCAAAAAAAATTTCTCTTTTGAAATGCATTTCACATTCTTCTTTTTAGCAGAAGCCTTTAAATTTGAAATAATGTTTCCCCTTGATAACAAAAGAAAGAGAGATCAATACATAAAATAGTTAAATCCTATTAAGAACATAAGAATGCACCGCATGTAGCCCTACAAGGCCCAGTAATCTAATAGCTTGTATACACTCCTTTGAAGAGCAGGCAACTACACTTACAGAAGTAAAATAGTACAGTAAATTTATTTAGCAAATATACAAATATAAATCAGCACCTTTGTGTTCAAATACATATATTGGCTATTGAGTTAAAATCTTTTGCAGCTATCACTTCAAATAAAGCAGGTCAAAAAAGAGTTTAAAATAGAATCAACTGTATTATCTGGCATTTTGTTCTACACTCAGTTAACAGTTAAATTATTACATTTCAAATAAATACAAAAACTCAGTAGCCATATGGTAAAGACAGAAAAAAATGCATGTAAGAAAGTGTTGCTATACTGTGATATGGACTGATATACAGCTAATGTATTTGACGGGTTCGCATTTGTTCCATTTTTCATTGCTGACTGCATGCTCTTCTGTTGATATTTGCTTCAAGTATTTATTTTTAAATCTTCATTATATTTGCTCTAAGTGTTTTTACTTGGTGCAAAAATACAATCCTAAATAGGGTTATCAAATTAAGGAGCAGTAATTGGGTCCCACCAGTATGACAACATCTTCGCCATGAGTGCAAGCATGTTTGGACTGAAAAAACCCAAGAAACACGCGCCTGCTCATGTCCATTAGATACACTTGTATTGAACTATACCATTTCATTTTGAATGAGTATATTGCATTACCAGGCAATACAAATTTCTTGGCATTAGCCGTCATTAAGTAGTAATACTCAAGTTGGGGATGACCAGCTAAGAGGTTAATATAATTCATGCTGCACAGTGCAGAACATCAGTTTAAAAATAGTACTACTTTTCCTGTGTAAAAGGGTATGTACTAAGCACTTCCAAGAAGTGAACTCAAGTAGTCTTCACAGAATAGCACGACAAGCTGCAACAAGTTCTTGTGTATAATTTTTTCCTCTAAATACCACTTGCAATAAAATAAACAAGACAAATGACAATACTATAGAAGAAGAAAAAAAAATCACTTTTAACATATTTTAATGAATCAATAACTGCTTTGGCAAGGTAAAAGGTGGCTGTTTATTTTACCATCCTAAAATGGTTTACATGTCACATAAATAAAACACGGCATACTTCTTGCATCCATGAGATTTTGCAAGGATAGCTCCATTTTTGTTTACTCTCATGGCAGAGTTGATTTAATCCAAATATATGTACATGGTTTGTGTATGTGTGTATATATATGTATAAGTATTTCAGTCATTTGTTTTAGAGTTTTGAAAGTATCCATTATCTAATCTCTATCTCAAATATTCATTCATCTGAATTCAGGATTTACTTTAATGATAATGTAGTGATATTTAAAAGATGACCAGGTTCATCACAGTAACAATTAGTTAATGGTCCAATTCCTGTTCTCAGTAAAAACAAGATGCAATTATGACCACATGGTATCTGTGAATTCCAGTTACTTATGGTGAAGCAAATGAAGGTCTATTTTCTAAATGCTTATCACTGCTGGGCATTTCTGGTAGGCCATTTAAGTTGTTACACACAATTTTTTTAGACTGATGGACATTATAAATGCAAACTATTCTGTAACTACTGTGGCAGACCAAATACATTCTATTTTGAATCAAACAAAGAAAAGAAGATTTCAGGATGCTCTAAAGCACTCTGAATACTTCAGCCTGACTAGAACAAGCCTTCAGCCACTGTCTCTGAAGGAGTGTACCCAACAGGAAGTACATCTTCAATTTATTCACTGTTGGTCATAGACCGTTTTGTAGAAAATCTCCTTTAAAAAAAAAAAAAAGAGAAAGAGCAAGAGAAAGCAAGATCAAATTAGAAACTTGTCTATAGTCAGGAAACTTGTGGCTGAGCTAGGAACTAAGCTATTATTTTAGGGAGCCTTTTCAAGACTCAGTCACAAAACAATCCACCCTATGCGCTAAGTATCATGTGATGGATAGGGTAAAGATGGAGAACACCTGTACACTGCAGACACTTCAGTCTCTCTTGATTGACACTCTCACCTAGTCTTTGAATTGATGTTGAGAATGCAGGCTGTATAGATCCCTCAGGGATGCAACGAATGAGGACTCTTTCATGGAGGAGCAGGTGTCAATAGTGACAATCATTTCAGTGCAATCGCACTAGCTGTACCATGTTTTTATGGTGAAACAGAATTTTATCATTGACCGTATCAAATACATAGGAAAATCCAGCTGGGTTAATGTTAATGCAATGCAATACAAATGCCCAGCGATGCAAAAAAGACTAAATCCAACAAAGAGAAATATCAGGTTGTTAGTCCTGTGTAAGCTACGGAATTCTCACCATTCCAAACAGCCATCTCTGTCGGCAAAATCTCAAAGAAAAACATTGGTCTATGCTTTAAAACAAGAACGTTTGCTCATATTGAAACAGCAAAATTCAGGGGGATAAAGAGATAATTCACACTCTGGAACAGTTTTAGTAGATGCTAGGAGAGATGTATGCATTTCCTTATACTGAGACCAGGTTAACAACTTCCAATTACATCTTGCTGTTCTTACATGTGTCCACTCAGTTTTCCACACATGGCAATTTTCCTATTCGTTCCTGTCACAAGTGAGAAGCCTTACAGATTCACAGGACTAAATATTTTGAGTCAATCACATTAAAAGCTGTCATTAAAAGCTGTCATTAACCAACAATCATCAATTCCACTGGCATTCTGTACAACAGCTTTTGGATTAGATGGACTGATCTACAAGTAGCATCTGGAATTTAGACAGGGCCAATGACTTTCTTGGCTGAGCACTCTTTTTCCTTGCCTATATATGGGAAGGACAAGGAAATATTCAGTTTAATGTTCAACTTGCATTTAAAAAGATCTTCATCCAACTGAAAACAAAAAAATTGGGTTCTAGGTTTAACTAGCTGGATATCACAGGTCAAAAATTATGTGGGAACAACAAGCTGCTTCTCACAGATGATAAACCTGAATAAGGCCACTTACTTTCAGAAACAGTAACAAAAGTAAAAAAAACCCATATAGATACTCTTGAAAGTACTGTGCTTTAAAAGGCTGCTTTTTCCCTTAGAAACAAAACCAGGAAAGTACAACTGCCCCTAACTGTGTACAGTAAAGTCTAGGTATTTGACTGTTCTACATACATTCAGATAAAGAGCTGAGGAATACTTCGGTTCAAGTTAATATCTGCTTACCATTCTATGTTACAATATAAATGGGTACCTTATCCATTAGAGGTGGGGATAATAAATTTTTCCCTAATATTATCAAATGTTGATGCATTTTTAAATAACAAATTCATATTAAAAGATGGTTCCGCTATAAATGACATGTAATCTTACCTGTGTATGTTATCTTGACCAGAAGGGACTACACCCAGGTTTGCTGCCTTCACTACCTTCTCAATTATTACAAGTCTCGTAGAGTTCTGCGGAGCAACAGCTATTGTAACAGATGTCTCATTCATTCCTGTCAGCATCCCTGAAACAAGTATTTAATTATGAATACTTTAAGATTTGCTCGCTTATTAAGCATAAAACCAAAATAAGAGACTTTTAAACAAAAAAACACCTTAGCATTAAAAGTTAAATCATTCGTCAAGAAAACAATTTTATAAGAAATTATATAATTACATTAATGTATTACTTGCAATGCCCTATTATTAGAAAGAAATTACTAATAACCGAACAATGATACGTGCGATACTAATGCAACTGCGAAACCAAGATGTTTCTTTTTCACAAACGGCATAACTTAAAAGAAGAATGTAAACACAGAAATGAAATAGTGAGACTGATTTGGAAAAGCCCAGCTTAAGTAAGACCATATACAGAGACACCTTCTAATCCTTCAATCATAAAACCAATGCGTTTAATTATAAGTTCATACACAACTGCTAAAAATAATTTCGAAATTCAGACAGTGGTCATGAAGATAAAGTCTTCGCATTAGAAACTGGGAAATTCAGTTAGCATCCATCCTTCTAAAATGTCATGATAAACTATTTGATTAAAATAATTTGAATATTATTACAAAATGGAACAGAAATGTCAAGATTATATCCAAACATGACAAAAAAGTAAAGAAGGAAATGTTTAAGGACATTTTAACAAAACCCCCCACTTTTCTATCAATATCCATTGTTTAGAAGATTGATTTGCTGGATGCTCGAGTTGATTAAAACCCAACAGTAACTACAACTTAACACTGTCTGTGTATTTTTACACTATGTTCTGAAGCTGAATACGCAGTCAAACAATGGAGCACAGTACTTCAGGCAGAAATATGAAGCATTTGAAACCCATGATAATATTAACAATGAAAACAATGCAAAAGTCTCAAAAGGCTAATATTTTAGGGCTACACATACAGCTCTAACCCAGAGCAAATGGTGCTAAGATGCTTAATAGAGCAATTAAAAAAATAAACCCAACATTTTAATGCACTAGAATGTGCATTAGCTGCTGTCACAAAATAAGAAACATCAAAGTAAAAATGGAACAGCCCATAAGTAAATAACGGGATATTTTTGAACATAGTTTGCTCTTGAAGAGAATAAAAATAAGCATACAACTATAGATCAGCTTTATCTTGGGAACAGAACATTCTGTTTCAAATTGTTTAACTTCACTATTAGGCAAAAGCTTTAAAAACTACATACGCAGACTAAAACTGCTTTTAAGCAGAGCACAGGGACTGACATAACACTGCTGAGAGATGTGTGTACTCATTTAGGATTTAAACCTTCTCCATTAAGCTCTATTGAAGAGCAAATGCTGAATAAATGAATGCAACTATGTTTATGTTAAAAGCCTGTTTCCCGCAGCATGTAATTAAAGGAAATGTTGTACAAAGCCAGTACTTTTGTCAAGCTCCTGTAAATGGAAAGATGGATAGCACTCAGAGAAGTGAATGCATTGCTTCATATTTAACCTTAACACTCTTGTCATTAATGGTTTGTCTAACTTGTTCTATAAAAGACAAGGTACTGCTCCATTGAAGTAAAATTAAAAAAATCAACTAAACCATGCTTTTCAGAACAGAAGATTCATTATCGTCGACTAATGTATTGGCATAAAGCAAAGTAACATCCTATCAAGTAAGGCACACATTCAATCTGCCTTTTCACCCCCCTTTATTTTTAACTCATGCTGTTTTATTGTTATAGGCAATTTGTACCACTCAGCATGACAGTGTAAACTGAATCAAGATTAATTTACATGCAAAAGAACACTTAGGAGAGCAGCATGGTAAGCAAATGTATTGTCTCGATTGCTGAGGTGGAAAAGAACCTGGAAAGAAAAAAGGGTGCTCTAATTAAGGGGCATCAAATATGATTGCTCGTGGTAGTCAAGGGCCAGAAAATAGTAAATGTCCAACCATTTAAAGAATTAGCATCTTGCTTGTTAGGAAGACAAGTTGGATATATAAATCTTAATAAAATTAGGTAAATAATTTGTTTACTTAACCAAGGTGTTTGGTTTTTTTGGTTTGGGTCTTTTTTTAAAATGTGCATCAGGTATATGCTTTTAAAAAAAATTGACAAAATTATTTTAAAACATGTTTGTAGGGGGGAAAAATAGTCTCTATACTTAAAGTAGTTTTAACTGGCTTTTTAAAAAACACCTTCATAAAAATTTTGATTAATATCCAGCTATAACAATCACATGCCACCTTTAAAATTGCTTGAAACATGAGAATCTAAGAAAACTCTATTCAGAGAACAGAGCAGCAATTAATCTGGGTTAACTAACTGATACAATGAAGTAAGTGTACACATTTTTAATAATAAAAGGAAGTGAAAGTGGCAAAATTACACTGCTACATAACAAGGTATGCTAGCTACCAGACTAGTCGTCTTCTGAGCTAAGGCAAGGGGGGTTTTGCTACTGATTTTTAAAAGCAGTAGACAGGTAGAAATTTGGATACACAGATCCCAACAGTACATGTATTACTCGTGCAGAATTCCTGCTACAGAAACTGGACTTTTCATGGGGATATGATGTAAAACAGGGTATAAAATCCCGAGGCCTGACTATCAGTAAAAATATTTAACCAGAAAGGTAAAGAGTAGTTTGGCGATACCGTTTTTATCCACTGCTTCCAAATTGTCAATCACAACATCAACCGCTAACTCAGCTACTGCTCTGGGGAATTACCTCACCGGAGGATTCCCCAGCTCAGGAGGGAAAGGGAAGGGAAGATGCTGTAGCAAGGCTAAGCGTATCACGCACAGCATGTGGATAAATCCAGCTTTCGAGGTTCTGCTGCTACCACTAGATAACCTTCACAGCCATGAATATTCAATAACCTGTCTGTTTCCCTCTCCTTATGCCATCAAGAAGAAAATGGACATATACAAATGTAACAGACAATGCAAAACAGCAGAGTGTAATTGAGTAAAGATGTGCAGCAATGAATTGTCTTCTACGTAGCAGTATAATACCGGCTATTTCCTCTTTAGGATTCTGATTAGGTTACACATGCAATTTAGATGTAAAAATCCTTAAAACCCATACGTATTCTCATTCTCCCCCAATATAACCTTGCATTTCTAATATTCTCCTCACTCCTTCACTATTTTTTACCTATTTGTCTTGGTTGCGAATAAAATAAGGCATCTTCATGTATAGGACTTGAAACATCTTATGTCCCAAAATAAAAAAAAAATAAAAAAAAAAAAAAAGGAAAACGAAAAGGCATGACAAGTGAAAAACAAGTTATATAAATCAGATTCATTTGGAGAATACAGACAAATCAAAGTTAAACACAAAATAGAATAATATATACAAACTTCTAAATTGCCCTGCATTTATTATTGTAATTTGGATCTTTCATTTAGCAAGATCACATAGTAATTCTCCACAAATGCTAGCTACTCCTAGATCTTTGTAATAAATACTTATGTAAAATTTAGGACTGAGACCTCTATTACCACGAATATTCTGAAACAGCTGATATCTACAAGGAAAAAAGATGCAATAGCAAAGGTTTTTAAACCTGTGGTAAATTTGCCAGCATCAAGTCCTGCATCAAAGAATGAATTCAGGAAGACAGAGAGAGCAATACAGAAATGCCAAGAGACCTTCATGGATTTACAAATACTTCATATAAACAAATTTTCAAATAGCTTCATTCAGAGTAGCCTTTCTGCTCTATTAAACATAGCAAACAGCTGCCAGATTTATTCAGACAAATAATCAACAACCATAGAAGTAAAATGGCAGAAGAAAAAGGAATTTTGGCAACAACTCCGCAGAGGACCACAGCTATTCTCCAACTACACTTCTATGTGCTCATGGTTCTGTATGGCCAGTCAGGAGGAAAAAAAGCCCTCAGTCACAGTAAAACATACAAAAACTCTATCAAAATATCACAAAGCAAGCAAATATAAAAACGGAGGAGAGAAGGGGGAAGAAGCACAATAACCTGCCTTGCTTTCACTACAACCTCAGCTACAATTTTTAGAAGGGAACAGTTTAAAATAAATGTGCCACAGCCTCGTTCAATCACTCACCTTGGTTTGCTGAGCAGGTATAAAGCAGAGAGGCAGGCTTTAGCCAGCAAAGGGTAAGAACAGCAAATAAGTATCAATTGGTTAAGAAAACAAAGCACAATCCTAACTTTTCACTGCAGCCATAAGCTTAACTGAAAATGATCTAGGCAATATTTAAACTACTTTCTTAATCATTCAAAAATACAAAAGCAAGAAATGCTCAAAAGCAATAATTAATAATACATAGCATTACTCATTGGTGTTCTTGACTGCTTGATGGATATACTGAGTTTCTGAGCCTTACACAGCAATGAGACAGGATCCCATGGGTATATTCTCATCTCAATATGAAGAGATTTACACATGTAAATCCCCATACATTGAGATACATGTGTAAACACTATTATATTTGAATGCATCCAAAATGTAAATGTTTATATTTTAAAATATCCAAGAATCATATCCAAATTAAGGGTACAGCATGGACTGTTCCATTTAATACACAGTCAAAGCTAAGTACAATTTTCTCTAATTATTTTGTATAAAATATTCAAGTCACTAAAAGCTCTTAACACAGGTTTGTGTTTGGACTAGTATCAGAAACTTACATTCTTTAAAAGATGCAACATAAGAAGAATGCAAAAGTAGATAAAAGATGACACCTTTCTAAAACAGTATTTCAACAAGAATATTTTTTTAATATTAATTGTTTGAAAGGAAAAAGATTAAAATAATCTTCAAAGTAGCTGAGGAACTAGTACACTAACGGTACTTAAAAGTAGCCTTGGAATAAAGAGCAGTGAAGGCAGACAACATACCAATGTGTATTTGGTTTATTTCCTTGAGCTGGGGTTCCAGCTTTCTGCTTTACTGCTAGTAGGAACGACATTCACACGTCATGATAGGAAGCCAAAACTCTGAGCCAAAAGACTGTTTCGGGGTAAAGAGCAGGCTTTGGGCTTTTAAAGGCACACTGAAAAGCTGTCAAATACCACTGCACATCCTTTTTAAGATACTTTTAAATTAAATCATTAGTATCAGACTGAATACTAACAGAGACTAACACAAACAGCTCCACTGGAAGCATTTGCGGTACGCTTGTAAATTGAAAGGCACACAGCTCTCTTCTCATCCAAATACATTTATTGAAGCTGCTCAAATATTTCTCACCTTGCTCCTTCTTAAAGTCTTTCTCTGACATAGTGACAGGCAAAAGCAGCTCTCCAACAGGGGGTTGAATGTTAACATTGAAATGATCATCCTTTGTGCTGGGAAAAGAGAAATTACAGAGAATCAACCAAGTGCTTCAACACAAATTAATATACATGTATCAGCTCCAAATTTACTGTGGAATCTATAAGCAGCGTAAGAACTACCTGCATGATTTCTACCTGGCTAATCCAAAAGCCTGCTATTTTCTTACATCAGTAAAGCTGATCTGTTTTCGCCAGTACAAACGTAGTATTAATATAGTATGCAAGCTCTTGTATGACTGAAAAATTTAACTTTTACCCATATTAATGTTTAATCGTAATCTGTAAGACATCACATTCAAACTAAATACTTGTAAAGGACAAATTATTACGCATTTTATAATTCCTTTAAAAGAACTGTTATTCACAAATTTTGTTATCAGCAATAGCTGTACCAGATACAGGGCTAGGAAAAGTGTAATTTCAGCCAAAAAGGATTATCATTGTCTGAAAAAACCCCAAACAAACCCAACAATAAATTTCGGAGTAACAATGAAATATATTTGGTCACCTCAATTTTGCAACATTCTGTGTATTTAAATAAAAGCACACAGTATACTGGTTAATGAAAAAGCACATTGGAAAACTGCAGAATTTGAGGCAGTTTTCGTAATGGCAGAGAGTTAAAAAAAATTACTATTAGTAGTATCATATTATTATCAAATGCTATAGATACCTCCTCAAGCAATAAATGCATACAATGAACTTGCTCTCCCTATACATTAAATTCTCTGAGTTTCCAACTATCTTGTCTTGGAGTTCTCCAGGTCTACAGAAACTCAAGATACATTCACTCTGCTGTGTTTGATTGACTAACTACACCGTAAGGGATTTGGCTAGCAATTCAGGATCAGTAAATCCAGTCAGAATCTTTGTTAATGATCTGAGGCATGAGAAATTTTAGAAAAGAACACTTTTTTTTTTTTCCCCCCCAATGTACCAAATAGTCAATACATATTGATTGCTGATATGCCTCAGATATCCTACTTAAATATAATGGTACAATCATTAGAATGGAAAATACATTTCATCAATTAATATCCACGGTATTTAAATTAACCTCAAACACGTGTTACTGATTTTTTTATAACTCTGCAACTTCAAAATTCTGAAATAAGATAGACTGATGGAAAAAACAGCACTAGATCAATAATATAGAAAACATGTGTCTCCCTCCTAAAGATGTAACCTGAAAACAGAAAAGCATTTTATGGTCCTATTACTGAAAATTTTAATACTTACCGTAATTACCCAATTTCACAAGCAAGTGCTTAGAACTTGTACATTCTTACTTTCTGACTTCTGATGTGTTATAACTATGCTTATGGATGCAATTTCAAGTATGGTCTTTTCAAATAAAATTTAGCATTTATGCTAACTTTGTTGAAAATTATTATTTAGTAAACATACAGTGAAACAGTCCCTTCCAACCTTGTTAGTATTTCCTTTACAAAGAATCATTATATAAAGTGCTGCTTTTAAAAATTTGCTTAGCTAACTGTCCTGGTTTCGGCTGGGATAGAGCTAATTTTCTTCATAGTAGCTAGCATAGTGCTGTGTTTTGGATTTAGTACCAGAAGAATGTTGATAACACACTGATGTTTTCAGCTGTTGCCAAGTAGTGCTCAGACTACTCAAGGACTTTTTGAGCTTCTCCTGCTCGGCCAGGTGCATAACAAGCTGGGAGGGAGCACAGCTAGCACAGCTAACCCAAACTGACCAAAGAGCTATTCCATACCATATAACGTCATGCTCGGGGGGGGGTTAGTTAGTTCGGTCGGTCGCTCGCGGCTCGGGGACTGCTTGCGGCTCGGGGACTGCTTGCGGCCTTTACAAAGTGCGTGGTGCTGAGTTGCCAGCCGGGTTAAACCACGACACTAACAAATTCTCACTTTTTTTTTCCTATACTACTTTAAATACCATCCTTCTCTAAAGTCTTTAGCATACTAAAAGAGCAGGGATTGTTTGACTGGCTGGCCTGATTAAGTGCACTGTAAAATAAGAAAATAATATTTTTCCTTTAATTTTTGCTTTGAAAACTGATCAAGAACTCCATCAGCTGAAGAGCTGAAGGAAGGGTCTTTTATCAACTGCCTCATAACTTTTTGCTGTTTATATATACTACTTGGACTATATGACTAAACTTTCAACAATACCTTCATTGTATTGTTCAACTGATTGTTCAACCAACGTTATCTTTCATATTTAAGCAAGATGTGCACTACATAATTCAGCATAAACCAGATAAACAGCTTTGTGTACAATGATTCATGTCCTGCATTGACTGGACATGCCATTTGTATATAAACTTGGCTTACAACATCAATGATTAGATTGCTTTGAAATGCTTACAACAATCCTTTCACGATAAGAAAGAATAAAAGCATGAGCATAGTTTGGGTTTTATACAGCTGTAACTGCTTGAGAGGACCACCACTTCCCTTTCCCCTAGTGATTAAAAAGCTAATAGATATTCTTTGATAAACCATGAACTCTTCATAGTCTGCAAGCAGAAATTCTGATTTATAGTTTTTCTTCAAAACCACATTGTTCTTAATTTCACTTTAGCCAGCATCTGGTTTACTTTGCATTACTTTAATTTCAGCCAGAGAAAATCATCCTCCCTTTTATCATTCTCTTTATTACACGCTTTACAGGCTAAATATACGGCTTTTGTTTACTGATCTACATATTTTTTTATTACATCTTTATATAAGAGATCTAGTAATATCTAATTTGACAGAAGTAATTTCGTAGCTCTATAGAACTGTAGAACAATTCAGGTTGGAAGGGGCATCTGGAAATCACCCAGTCCTACCTCCTGCTCCACCCAGGGCCACCTTAGTTCACATTGCTCAGGGCCCTGTCCATTTGAGCTCTGAGTATCTCCAAAGATGGAGATTTCATCAGATATCCAATGGATAAGTTTAATAATAAAATTGAGTTCTGCAGTAGAACTACATAATTTCCGTCCATACCTAGTAAACTAAATTCCAGTGTATTTAACTTACTTATACTTTGAATACTGTAATTAATATAAATAATACTTGAACAAAAAACTCTATCAGTGGTTTGAAGCTTGAACATTGACATTTAAGAATCTGTCAGACAACTGTTTCAAGCTGCACTAAAACATCTCTCAGGTGGCGTTGCTCTAACTTTCCTGAAGATCAAGCTGAAGAAGCTTATCAGAAAAAACCCAAAGTTTCTCAAGTCAACAAAACATAACCGTTTCTAGATTTCAAAAATTAAAGATTACATTTTCTGGTATTAGCAAGTGCAATTGATAAATTTCATCCTTACTGGAACATGTATGCTTAATGACAAGTCGGTACATACTGTATTTGTAAAAGACTTACACCACTTTCACAATGTAATTCCAAGGATCACATGAATTTATCTTCTGATGTACCCAATTAAGATGAACAAATGAGAGGTGATAATGCTCCCAGAAGAACACAGGGAGACTTACCACCTCTGTGATAAACGGCACTGCAAGACTAACATTCAATCCTTTAGAAGATGCACAGTTTTAACTTTTATTCAGACAGCTGCCGTGGGAGCAGGTGGCACCTGTCATTTGAAACCAGTGTCCATTTTCCTTACTCCTTTCTCTCTTCTCTCAATTTTTTTTTTTTTTTTTTTAAAGGATTGGCTCCAAAGGGTTCCTGGGAAAGAAGTTCTCTGCCATAACAAAAGACTTGAAGACAACAATGGCAACACCTTCTTAAAAACTAATACAAATAATATTATCACTCGTGAATGAGTTCTTATAAGATTCCATGATGGCAGTCCTTAAAATCTTAATTTTAAAAGCTTTTTAAAAATTATTATTCTAATAAGAGGCTGGGGAATATTCTTACTATTTATATTATCCTTTTTTGTTTCACTTCTAGTAGCTGCTTCAGACAGAATACATCTATCCAAAACCAGCTCACTATTTTTGTCTTGTATTCAAAAAATCTCCACAGATGATTAAAAAAAAGAATTGAAGAGGAAGAGCAACACACTAAGTTCCTACAAAACGCAGAATGGAGAAGTCTAGGAGACTTTGCTCATAGTCTTGCTGAAGAAGGGAAAAGACAGCATCCTGATTTACAAGAAAAAGGGCAGGGCGACAGAAGAAATGAGATTAGTTGTTCATGCCCAGCCTTGCTGGAACTGGGCCAACTGACTACTTCAGAGTAATGAAGTAAAGAGAAGAGTACCAGATTGCTTGTCTTAATATCCAACATCTGTAAACAACTTAAGTGATCTGCTGACAAAGCACTAGGGAAGCAAACAGCAAGAAACAGGTGAGAATGCAAGTTACAGTGACGTGACAACAGTCCTGCATCTGTAACATTAACTTTTAATATATTCCATAACACATTCTACTACATAATTTTAATCAGATGCTTTTGTGCAAGCATCTACACCTGAATGCATGCTTGCACGCAATACAAATAATGACTGCTGCCCAACTGGTCCTCTTCATCTACTCCTCTCTGCAGGTAGAAGTTCTGCTTGGGAAGATTCCTACATCAATGCAGTGTGAGGTAAGAGAATTTCATGCTGCAAAAAATCTATTCCTTGGAAAATAGAATTTAGAGCAAAAGCTTTTATAATAAGGTATAACCTGCAGACAGCAGATTGAACAAGGTTTTCAAATCTCATTCATGGAATTTTCTTAATTTAAGAAAATGCTAGATTCTTCCTGCTACACCAACCTCTTCTGGAGTAACCAGCAAAATGCTCTCTATGTATTTCAGGGCAGATGAGGTGAACAGACAGCTTTCTTTTCTATCAGTGTAACAACAGTGGAAGAGTACGTACAGGGTCCCAGCTCTTCTAGTAACACTGAGACATAGGAAATGCCAATCTAAGGTGACCAGCCCATGCTTGTAAAAACCTGTGTCACATGCCACACTGATTTCCCATGATCTTATTATTCAGAGCAAGAATGGAAGATGTAGAAGTTGTTACTTTCGTTCCATTTCTCTTTCCTCTTGGGAGCTCTGCACTTAAACTTTGAGAAAACTAGAGGAAGAGTTGCATGGCATGGACATGTTCCCTGTGCCAGGTTGTTTCAAAGAGAGCTAAACAACATCCTGCATACTTCTCAAAAGAATGGGGAGAAGAAAACAGGTTCTCTGTAAAGGAATTTCATTTTCAAAGCTGTGGTTGTTTCATGGCTTTGGGAACAGCTCAGAGAATTTGGAATGAGGGGATGAAAAGAATAGGGAAAAAGAGGTAAGGACAAGCTTCCTTCTCCAGCTCTCAATGTTGTAAAGAGAACATGTCCCTTTCACCTTTAGTCACTCACCAGACACCTACAAGAAGCTGGAGATTTGCCTACTGGGTTTTACAAATGCAGACAGGAATCTGAAATGCTAAATACATGTATACAGAATTGGATAAGGGCATGTATATACTGTAATCTTCGGTCTCTGTAAGCTTCCTTGCCTTTCTTCTCTAGAGGTTCAAATGTCTTCACTCCAAGGATCCAAGGCCAAATTCTGACATGGCAAAGCTCCCAAATCTTTGTTCAGACATCTAAGGAAACTGGTAAGCTGTGAGAAAGACCTAAGAATATCTGAAGAGTAGAGACGTGCAAGGTAATAAAGATAAAATAAGAGACAGTGGTAGGATTGTTAAGTTGGTGATTAATAGGAGCTCAAGGATTCAAAAGAAAACACACTGATTTGGAAATACGTAAAATCTATATGAAACAAGGAAAAAAAGTAAAATTCCACAGTCAGTGGAGTACTGCAGTCAGTCTGTAACATCAAGGATTCATTCCAACCTTTCTTCTGCTCACTGATGCCTACCTGCCTAGCGAAGACTGAGGTCTCTTACCAAGATGGTGAATATACTAACGCTTAACTAGGATTCAACAAGCTACTGGCCTACCTTGTAGACAATAACAATTGCATTATACTTCTAAGATGTATATATCCTGCTTGCAGAATCTGAACAAAGTAACCTAAAAAGAAACAGTAATATTCACAAGAATCTTTTAAAAGACTAAGCTCCTCCATTTACTCCTCTTTAAGTTTCTGCTTGGGACGCATTATTGGGCAGAACACCAGTGTGGCTGAAGTAGTGTGCCTCTGCAAGGAGATGGCACAAGAAAAATAGCAATGAATAAGTGTCTCCTTAAGAGTACATAGTGTGAGCATCCTAATACACATTCTAAATAAACGCATTAGGCACAGTTCTCAAGTTAAGGTGTTTCACCTCTTTTTAATTAGATGTGTGATCCTGGTAAGCTTTGCTTATTTACAAGGGAGGTCTTGCAAAGCTCAGCCCTTTGAACCTCTCTTTATAATTCAGTTTCTCCTTCATTGTCCTTCATTTGTACAACAAATTCAGAAAGAGATCTAAATATTTTATTACTCATGTTAGTTTTTTTCTCTACACAGTTTGTATTTATTGAACCACTAGTACAACAGCACATCCCCAAGCAGAAAGGTAGTGTTTGCTATGCAAAACACACAGTCCATGATTGGCATCTAAGACCAATTGATCTACCCATTACCACTAACTCCCTACCCCCACAAGCCTTACTACAAAGCTATTGATTTAAACACTGCCGATCGGTTTCCATTTTCTGATTTTGGGCAGGCCAATTAAGAAAGTGAGTAATTGTGATTACACTGCTTCAGAATCAATTACATTTGATGCAAGACAAAGTGCTCCTCTTAGAACAACGTAAAGAAAATGATTATGATCAGGAACACTTTACTGCTGAACATGCTTCTAACAGAAATGCAAAATAACTGACAATGTCTTTCATAAAGATATGTTATCAGGAAATACAAGAATATCGACATCTTTGTGTGCACAGTATTTCAACTACATTTTGACAAATTTCTACAAGTCATTCTTGCTTTTGGATAAAAGCTTTTTAAGAACTACGACAAGTTAAAAAGGCTGCAGCTGAGTTCTCTGAGACATTGCCCCCAAAACATCACACTGCACCATTTCTTCAGTGATATTGAACATCACTAGGATTTTGAACAATACATGTTTTAACAGTAAAAGAGCAAATTTAATGCAAAGAACATTTCACCTATTTTTATACTATTTTCTAAGAACTCATGTCAAAGATACAAGGCCTTATCAATTAGCAAAGGAACAAAGTTAGCAATTCCTATTCTTAATTTAATTTTAAACTTAGCTTGAGCTTTGTCATTGGACTCACATTGTCCAAATCATTAAAATGAATACACCGCTGAGGTCTGAGGCAAATCTATTTACAGTGATGTTACTCATAGTCTGGTCGGTGTTCAGGAATATTGATCTGTCTTGTTTGTCTAATAGGAAAATAATAAACAATTACTAGGCAATGTTGGAGAAAGTAATCAGTTTTTATATATCACTAATACACCAGACCTCCCAAAACATAAAGGTGATGATCTGCATAAAATCAATGTGTTATGCTACATTGCTTATCCTCATCACTGCAAAGATTCTTAGCAATAAATGGTATAAGTTTGGAATCAAATCATTAGTATACTGAAAATATATACTTGAAGAAAAATATCTGCTCTGTTTAAGAAAGAATGTTCCTGCTTGATAAAATGAGCATATTTTATTTAAAAAAAAACCCCAAAATAATTTAGGGAAAGCCAGCCTATAATTTTGAAGCAATTATGAAATTGCATTGCCTAGAAGGGAAGGGAACTTCCCAAAGAAGCCTAGCATCAGGCAACAGTCCAAAGCTGTTTCCAAATTCCAGCAAACAGCACACAGACCAGCTACAACAACGTGATGCACATAAACTACATGCCGCAGACATCTTGCTGGAAGTAGTAGTATCTTTAAAATGACTATGCATGGGCATCCATTGTACAGGAAAAAGTTTAGGCGGAAGGGGACTCAATAGTAAAACCTCCTTGCCCCTAGAACATGAAATTTTCTGTTGGAGTCACTTGGCTACATCTCTGTTACTAAGGTTTTCCTACTGTCTTTAATAACCTGTAAGTTGCGCAAGCAAGAACTTCAAGAAACGGGTACAGGACTTTCTCAAAGGGCTTCCCCTAAACTGGAATGTGGCAATATGAATGTCTATTCAATATCCTTTTTTGTGCAGAATATAGAAAGCACTGCTTCTTACAACAAAATATGTCAAAAACCATTTCAAAACATGTAACAAGAAAAAGGAAAAGAATCGTGCAGATCTATGTAGTGCCTTTGCATAGTTTCAAAGACTATATAAGCCTGAATAGCTCTTAAAAGAAGGTACCTAGCTTTTCCCCATCCATTCATCCCTGATGTTTGGATACTGCTACTATAAATTTTCCCTGGTTTTGAATGCTTGTTAATAACAGAGTTCTCACTGGGTGAACAGGTTCCCTGCTAACCTAGAATGCAACAAGAACTCATACAAAGGAGGATCTTTAATGTGCCAATAACAAGCACAAAAAGCATAAATCAAGTACATGAGACAAAATCTAGTTGATCAGCCAGTTATTTGTTTCCATTCTTTCTCTAATAATTTAAAAGAATCTACAGCATAAGGAATAAGCTTCTTTGGCCAGCAAATTTTGGAGTTGGTTTCATGGAGTCAAGTTACAAGCACTCAAGGAAGTAAAATTGCTCACACTATGTGCTTTTATGATTTGTGATTTCTTACAAGGAAGAACACACAAAACACTCAAGCAGACTCCTCAGACCTGACTGCTCCCTTCAAGGTGGTTTTATTTAGAAGAATCCCAAGAAGAGGGGGGAAAAATTAAAAATAAAGCTCAGGAACAGAGAACTTAATTCTAAATCAGAAGAGGATTTAATGCTTCTAGTTGGTATCATTTATACTAAGGGAAAAACAGGACCGCCCAAACACAACGTGCCAAAGAGTTTTTGAACTTAGATGTGTGACTTCAAACCCAGATTTGAGCTTATCATCAAATCTGTGTTTTTAGAAGCAAGTGCTAAAAAATTTGTTAGACTGGAGAAAACTAATAATCCTTGTAATAGTAAAACCGAACACTAATTATGTCTTATTTCTCCAAAACCATTTTGGGTACACATCATGTTGTGAACTGTTCCGCTACTGCCAAGTAAATTTCCAATAGACACCATTTTTGCCTTCCAAGAGAAAAAAATTACCCACCCTCCCCAAGAACTCACCATAACTGGAAACTGGCTGTCTGAGTAGAATCACAGAAGTCGATACCCATTGAAACCGTAATGGATCCTGCGGGCTCAAGGCACTCTACATGGAAACATTTTTAACAGGTAAAGTACACATGCAAAGCAATAGAAGATGCCAGATGCAAACCCACAAAATTCACATAATTAGAAAACCTATATTAAAAAAAAAGCTCCATAAAAAAGAGCCAATACTTGGAGTTCTATTTTAAGTAGGTATCACCCAAATGTCACACTTGCATGTTTAAGTGTCTTGGACCCACCCTTCCTACAGTGAATGCACATGAAATATTGCCATTCCGATCCTACAGCCCTGCAAAATAAGGATTTGTATTAGAAAAGCTAGGAAATTATTTACATTAAAAAAATATATTGAAGTTACAGCCTTTTACTTGTGTACAGATTCAGCACCGAGGTTTCTTTTTCAATAACACCAGTTTGCAAATTCCATTAACAAATAGTAAAACACAACAAATATTAACAAAATTTACATTACTACACACAACAATGGAAAAAGAGCCAAACTTAAAATTTTCATAATTAGTGTGGTTTACTTATTTCTCTATATTCCACTTGCATTAATTATGGATGGGAGCAGAAAGATTATGAACCCAAAATGGAAGATAATTTTGTGCTTTACAAGCAGTTTAGGCTGAGGCACTTCTCAAATTAAGGTATCATTCTCAAATTAAGACACATGCTCATGCCTAGTTTCTTGGCTACATCACCATACCGTTTCCTCAATATTGTAGAGAGAAGGCTTTCTTTTGTTGGGAAGAAAAGCTCTTTCTTTACATAAGTAAGAGATATTAAAAACAAGCATTGCAGCAGAGTTTGACTTCTCAAGGTTACAAGAAAGAAAACCTAAAAGCATAGTTAAAACAGGGAAATTAAAATAAAAATAATTGGGCAGGCAGAAAAATGTCTGATTTCCAGTTTATTCATTAATTTATCTGACGCAGCTGCTCCATGGCAAAAGGAAACAAAATTAAACTATATAAAGATTAAGTTCTGAAAAATATGGAAAACACAGAGGTGATACAGTTAGGCAAAGGCTAAACTGATGCTAGGCAATTAATAGAAAACAAAGTATTTCAAGAAAAGAACTCTGTGTAACTCATCAAAAGGTTACAGCCCCCAGCTCAAATTCAGACTAAACTTCACCAAAGTCTTTGAACTTGTTTTCAAATGGTGCTTCAAAGGCACCTAGCCAACCAGAAAATACTGCGTACAGGGACTTAGGTGAAATAATTTGGCCCACTTCTACTGGCAAAATCAGGACAATTACCAACAGTAATTGCAGCGATGGAGGCAAAACTAGAAAAAAAAAATTATAGGATGTGTTTTCCAAATGCTGGAAACACAAAAAATAATAAGAACAGGGCATATAAACCGAGTTCTAGATAAAGTGACAAAGAATACAAAAAATGTATATTCAAGCAAGAAAAGCAACATTTCTGGAAGGAACTACAGATGGTGTATAGCTTATTTTCTGCAGAAGAAACCAACAGCTTCACAGGACAGAGAGCACAACAATGTCTTTCTTGGGGAAACAAATATTTTAAAGTGTAGGATTGTCTTGTGGAACTCAAGAAACCTGAACTGAATAACTTATTAATTCCCAATTTTTTCATGTTTTTTATGTGAGAGAAGTCAATGCTACTGTTCACTGACTGCTATTGTGAGTACAGTATCCTCCTGATCTGATTTACAGTATTACTAGTTTTCTACTTGTAAGCCTTTGTGACTTTATTTCTTTGAATGTTTAAAGGGAGGGATATAAAATTAGGCTGATGGTGAAAACCAACTTGAAATCAGAACTCTGCACTGGGCTTCTTCTCTTGAGGAATAAACACTAAACAGTTCACTTAATACAAAAATTAATATCTTTCCTAAAAGTAACTGTCTTGATCAAGTATCTGTCATTATCAAAATGCAAATGGTTCCAAAATCTTAACTCTGAAATAAACTGTAGCATTGCACTACTGCTTTTGTAGCTATTTGGTGTAAATCTGTATAGCCTTTCAAATGTTAAAAAAGTATTTCAATAGCGTAGAGCAATTTAGTACCAAACATTTTTTTAACTACTGAAATCCTTAATTCACTGTTGTGCTTTAAGAACTTGTTTCTGTGTTCTTCTAATGTGATATGGATTCACACAGTAATGTAGCTCATTAGAAGAGAAGAAACACATGTAAAGCACAGGAGCTTGTATCAAAAAGGAGCATGTCTGTCCTTTCCATTTATATTATGAAACAGAGACACCTTTGTTCCTTCTGATTACACCACAAAGTCTTAAAATAAAGAACTGCTAAGAAAAGAATACAGGTTGTGTGCATAAGTACTTCCCTTGAGTAAAAGTTATGATTTGTATTGTTCTTTCTCAGGTCTTCTACTCTTTTCCATTAACAGAAAGTTAGCAAAAAAAAGAAAAAATCCCGATTAGAAGGTAGAAAGTAAAACAATTCCGGTTAGGACTAACTACAGCATTGATTTCTACCTATTCTAAGAAGCCACACTTTATGGAAGTACGGTAGGTGCAAACTAGACTAAAACACACACTTCCATTCCACTGCCAAAAGCTCACAAGCGAAGCAACAAGAAAGCTCGAGCAATCAAACTAATATATCTACAAGTGTTCTTTAAAGCTTGGAAAGAAAATAACAATGAATATATAAATCACACCCACATTCTTAATAGTAGCCTATCATAGCCATTCCAGACTAAGGTTGTAAGAGAAATAAAGTCTGCAGGGAGACAGAAAAAAATTATTATACCAACTGGAATTGATATAATATAATTGATATTTGAACAAGCAGGTAAGCATTCAGGCATGGAAGTTCTGATCTAAGGAGTTATTTCCAAAGTCAAATATGAGTAGGGGAAAGCAGAATTAAATTTTTGTTAAAATCAGATTATCTAAGAAAGGATAGTTGCATGAGTGTATGTATGTATACATACATACATATGTGTATATATGTGTATACATACATACATATGAGTATACTTACAACTACGGAAACACACTTTCCTATATTTGAAATTTTGCAGAAGATTAAGATTCTGTATTTTAAAAGATAGGATACTATTACCTATTGGATTGAACTCATGCATCCTCATGCCTGGAGGCAATTTCTTCTCCCCGATGTGAATATTCTCTATCTTCTGATCAGTTGTATTTGTTACTGTCACTTGCACAGATACCATACAATCACCAAAAGTGCCTGGCTGTCTTGAGAAGTGATAATGTGCTGCTAATCCTTTTCCACTCATTCGGTGAAGCAGTTCATGTGTTTTTGTTGGCACAGAGACTTGGGTAGTGACCTGTTAAGTACAAAACAACAGTTGGTGAATGGTGTAAGCAAAGAAGAGATAAAATGACAATTAAATATTGCACTTTTCACTCAGCTAGAGTGCCTGCTTTCTACTCGGAATTTTAGGGAACTAGAAACACGTAAGGACATATTCAAATCCATAAACAAATTGCAGTAGTAGGTATCAGATAATAACATTTCTGGTGCTGAGAAATAGCGGCTTTAACTTTGTTGTATTTACCTCATTTTCCATTAGAAATCTGTTTTCAATATTTTAACTCCATTAAATTACCAGAGGGTTTTTTTTAAAGAGTTAGTTAAAATAATTCCGTTGTTTCCAGCAAGAAGCCTCTTTCTATTCTATGCATCAGAACTCAAGGGTGACCCCAAGCCCACTGTGTACTGTTAAAGTATAGTGAGAAATTGTCTTCTCCTTCTCTTGTTAAAACCACAAAAAATGTTGCCTAACAACTAACACCTGTCAAACACTAAAACCAGACTTGTATAGAGCAGAAGGATGTTGCCACTTTTTTAATAGTCTTGCTGCCACCAGGAATAAGAGAAATCCCAAGGATATTTAGGTCCATCCTATCCTGAAGAATTACCATGAATAAAAGACGTTCAGTGTGCAAACAAATTCCCAGAAGATACTGCTGATAAGGAAATCTGTAATCATGAGCTCAAAAGTGCAAAAGTAAGGAATATGCAGAAAAGTGATCTGAATTATTTAAACAAGTTTTAAGGAAAGGCTAGGAAATTAAATGAAAAGTAACACCACACAAACAGAACACGGGGGTCGAAAAAGCCAAATGCTCACCATGAAAATCCTGTTTGTCTGATCAATGCACTATGAGCTACTGAACTTTACTGTATGCCTGTTAGATATATCTGTTTCCACTGATGAGTGTCCATCTTCTCTTGCCCTACCTAATAGACCTGCATGTGTAGCCAAATGAAAGGGACAACTGCAAATAGCAGGATGTTGAAGACTCCAAGCAGCTCAGCAAGGAGAACAGGCTTTTATCTTGCCTTCCCTACAAAACTCTTACAGGTTGCTACATCTTCTTGGCTGTCACATTTAACATTGAGAGGCTGATCTGAAGACTTAGTGAACACTTCCAGTAATATGAGAAGCTGGCAAGAGCTGGGATTTAAATGCACAAGGTGTTACAGAAATGGAAGAGTATCTGGAAAACATAATGCCATCAAGAATCCTGTTACAAAACTTCAGACCTTAGTGAGCATGTAACAAACTTGATCTTCATCTCTGCACACCAGTTTCTGAACTAGAAAGCCAGGCTAGTAACATTTGTCACCTCAAATGAATATCTGTAAAGATCCAGTAATAAATATCTAGAAGTGTGAGCACTACATTGATGAAAGCAGAAGAAAACTACATGAATAGTTTTATTTAGTATATTTAGTACTTTCAGTTTAGTAGAAAACTACATTTGTATTCAGAAGTGGCTTTGGAAGCTGTGTTAAGTTTCACACATTTCATACTGAATGAAGAAAAAATAATGAAGGGAAAAAGGCAGAAAGGCTTCCCATCCCCTCAAAACTCAACCAGTATGTGACTGTAATTAGAACCACAAATACAGGATGCGATAAAGCAAACAACTGCAAAAACTTCCACATCAGATTTCACTTTCAACTTTTTACCTAGTGTTTCTTCATCTAATACACAAAAACTCTGGTATCAGTTTTTTTAGAAACAAATTAATGATCTACCAGTAACCTTCAGTGTGAAGACTGAAGGCAGTTTCAGAATATGTCTGAACTGAGGAAACTCCACAAACCCAACTTTAAATCTGTACAATTTATTAATACTTTTAAAGTAAATCAGTGAAGTTCAGACATTTTCTTCTCCCTAAAAAGTTAATGTAATGTTCTCAGGGACAACATTTTTAGTTTTCCTATATGATCAGAAGAAAATACAGCTGTTTACAATAGAACACATGTCAAATATTTAGATTTCCATCCTTCTTCAAGTAATAGTAATAATACCACTTGAAGAATGCAGACACCTTATTTTTAAATGGAGTCATCTTCTTCTGTCCAATTACTGATCTCTGACAAGCATGAAAATACCTTACACTTCTGTCCAAGAACACAACTCAGTGAAATTTTACAAAACCGGTGATGTTGGGTATCTTTTTACTCCAATGCCACCTAATGTGCAAAAATAAACTATAAGATTAGGGTTACTTTTATATAGCTTATCTTTAAATTATATTTAGAAAATAATGACAACTGTGACACCACATGACCAGATTTCTGGCTAATGAAAAATGAATGGAAAAAGTATTAATTCTATGGACCTTCACAGTTCCTCAAAATTCAAAATACCTTTGAATACTAAACCCAAACTTTAATAGATTAATGATTAATTAACTCTGCTTATATTTCTAGAAATAACTGACAAGGTTAAACTCTCAAAAAACAATTCACTTGTCAGAAAATAAGAAAGGAGGTACTTCAAATAATAGCAAATTTTGTTGGTGCATAGAAAGAGACAACAACAGTAAGAAATTATTAGTAGAGTCACACTAGCACCTGTTACTTAAACCATTGCTGAAATAATGAATAAAACTTAAGTTTTAAAATGTAATTTAAATCTTATTTTTAAGCTTAAGCTTAGCTTTTAATTTTTAACATTTAATTCAATTTCAGCTGGACATGCATAATAGAAAAGTTACTTCATTAAATGGTTCATCCATTTTTCATTAACCAGCTTAGGAAATAGGTTTTATTCATGTTAAAACAAGTATTTTGAAGTACACTAGCTTCTCTGTGTTAACACATAGCTGGTTTTATTAATACTATTTATTAATAGGAGTGAAAACATAAAAAGTCAGAAGTCCAACATGTAGATACATATACATACACATATAGCAAAAATCTCTCATTATACTTAAATTGTAATGCTGACTCAAATTTTACTGAAACCTTCCTATGATTTTTAGAGATTTTAATCTATGCCCCTTTCAGCGTTACTTCTCATGTTTCAGTCATAATTTCACTTGTGAGCCCATTCACTTTTATTTTCAACATACTATACAGAGCAACAGACACACAAAGGACAGCCAGAATAATGACATTATGTTTTACCATCTTCCTTCCTGTAGAACATTACTTTTCAGTTGCATTTAACGTGGCAGTACTAGAAATAAATAAAAAATATATACGCTGAACAAAGGAATTTAGTTCTGGAAATTGAGAATTCTCAAGGTCTCTACTTGCTAGCATGGGCTTTGAGCTGGCAAAGGTTGGTGTGACTGTAATGCAGTCTATTTAACAGTTGCATCAGTCTGGTAAACAGAGGTTTTTGTTCTAATTCTAAAATTTTTAATGCATACAATCGCAATACTTAAAGAAACCCACAGGGCAGGTACCTGCAATCACTCTGGGGTTAAAATAGTCCTCCAAAGAGTTAATAGAACAAGAGGCATCTAGTAACCAGGAGATAATCCCCTACAAATCTTACACAGCATATGTTTAAATAATAGAAGTCGTTTGTGTACCTTTGGATGGTTTATGAAAATAACCAATCAATTCTGCAGACACAACATTATTTCTAAAGGAAATCTATGTGACTCATGATGCCTGGAGATACACAGAGACAAACCACACATATTTTATCAGTTTATTACAGTAAGCAAATAAGCGTGGAATGAGAGTGCACATAACTGTCTACTTAACGCTTACTGAAACATTTATAAGAGCTGTTATCTCCCTAATAACAGACAGACAGTGTGCAATTTTAGAGAGGAGAAAAGCTTCATATTTTTTAACACTTCACTAAAAAGTAACTGAAGAGTGTAAAATGAAAAATACTCTGTGCAGTTAGCTGGTAATGGACCATATTATCAACTCAAGTTAGATTTATAGGATACAAACTAGTCACTAATAGTTATTTTATGACATAGCGTGTCTGCTTTTTTTGGGTGAAGATTATTAAGATTAAACTTGCAAAACTTTTTTTTTATACAGCTGTTTAGAATGATGGAAATAAAAAAAATTAAAATATAGACTGTCCTCCCACCCCATTTTGACTGAAAGCCACCATGAATTAAAAGTCGGCATCGGGACTCCATATGGGAACACTATATTGGTGTGAGTCAGACTGGCCCCCAGGCTAACTGCACATGTTGAAAGATGATCCATCACCCTAAAAGAAGCTGCAAATATTTTTAAACTGCTTCTTATATAAGAACAAGAAGGGCAACATTAGGATTTTGCCTTAAAAGTCCCCCACTCATTAATCACTTAAAGGGAAAAGTGTAAGATCACTGACAGTAGTTTGGCTTTCTATCACAACAGAGCTGACTAGTTACAAACCACAGAATCCTCTGCACATGAACATGCTTCTTTTTGCCAGCTCAGTAAGTCCTTAATAACTAAGTTTAAGTTAATACCAAAAACTATTTTCCACAATTATTTAAAATAGAAAGCACTACAGGGTTTATTAAACCTACTACAGAAAACAGAGCCGAACAGACTTTCCTGCATGAAGTATTATTGTTATTATTAAGCACAAAATTATGTCTGCTGTCTTTTTTTCTGTTTTATTAGTTGCTTAGCTTAAAAATGCTGTAATAATAAACACAGATTAATTTTTGATCCTAAGTCAGAAAGTATATGTGTTTGGATAAAACATATTATTGGAAAAAAATAGTTGCTTCCAAGAATGATGATAATTATACTTCTATTCCTCTAAATTACATTCTGTTAAAGCGGTGGACTGAATCATTTAATCTAAGTAGCCCTTCTACTGCCCTCCTATTGGCAATATCCATGACATAATCCAAGAATGACCTACTGAGCTGTGAGAGCTATATCCTCTCTTACACTCACTGTAAGGCTATGCTCCAGTAACTCCGCAACAGCTAAGAGGAGAAGGGCTATCACGTAGCCCAGCCACATTTACATGATCTTTCAACTGAAGCTATAAGAGCAACTTAACTATAATTTTATACTATTAGGAGAAAGATGGAAAACCAGGCAAAC